TTGTTTGTTTGTTGTTTAACGCCGCACTCAGCAATATTCCAGCTATATGACGGCGGTTTGTAAATAATCGAGTCTGGACCAGAAAATCCAGTGATTGATATCATGAGCATCGACCCACGCAATTTGGATCGATGACATGTATCAACCAAGTCAGCGAGCCTGACCACACGATCCCGTTAGTCGCCTTTTACGACAAGCATAGTCACCTTTTACGGCAAGCATGGGTTGCTGGAGACCTATTCATTCCCGGAATCTTCGCGGGGTATTTATCTTAATGGAATATTATACCCTGGATAACCGAGGATGACTTTTGACAAACATTTCCCATGTGAGCATGCTCAAAAAGGCAATAATAAGGCCGAAGACGACCTCAGGGGTATACCGAACAGGTAATTAGGTTCGTCATAAATATTCCAACTGAATGGATACTCTGAATGTAGAGTCCTACTGTGCGGCGTCAGACAAAAAGACCTGTTCATGCACATTGTGATCCTGGAGGGCGATTGGACACGGTTGGACACGACATTCTAGAATGTCATCGCTATTTTGTCTGTTACGATCAATGGAATGTTTCGGCAGATAATGTAGACTAATTTTCCTGTCATATCTAAATCGAATAGAAACAATAGGTAAACACTCATCTGTTCCCAAAGAAAGTTTTCCGGGTTCAAAATGTATACATGTCATATGATATCTTGGCTAAATTTGCAACGTAACATTCAATTCGTAGAGAAAAACATTAATACTTGATTCCAGGTTAGGACTGTTCTTCAGAATCTCATGCTTCCAGTAAAGGCGGCTATGCTTGTCGTAAGAGGCGACTAACGAGATCGGGTGGTCAGGCTCGCTGTCTTGGTTGATGCATGTCATCGAACCCCAATTGCGTCGATCGAGGCTCATGATGTCAATCACTGGATTATCTGGTGAAGACTCGTTTTAAAGCTGAAATATTGCCGAGTGCGGCGTTAAACAAACTTCGCGATTTTTCTGATCTTGCACATGTATTTGCTCGCTCTTTTCGTTACTACCTGTGCTAAGCCGGCCGGTATTAAGAGAATCCCGCCCGTTATCCCAACCTTACAACAACCTCCTCTCAGTGGCATAGTTGAGCTAATGTTACACGGGCGAACGTTTTACAACAAAAAAATAAGGCAAAGTCTGTATCTAACTACACACGCGGATCTGAGGAGGCGTTCAACAGTTTCTTCTGCACTATACCTATACATGCTGGCGTTTTAGAAGTATCCGGGTGCATAAAGTACTAGAACTCCACCTCAAATGATTATATGCATTCAACAACAACACACGACTGCCCAACCCAAATCAAATAATCACCCGACCTTTTAAATAAGGTTGTGTTCGTGCTACCCTGTCTCCCGGGCTCTTGAGAATAAATTTAACAAATGAATCCTACTCAAGTCTAGATTAATCTGGCAAGTCTAGATTGCTTTAGCTCTGAAATTAAGCATTGTTCTGGGCTCCATTTGGATTTAAATTTTTATTTTGTATACATATGTATTTAAATCAGAACTTCATTTTTGGACTAAATGTTAGTGTATATTAAAACTTAATGGCTTTCCGCGTACGTGAGTTCGCATTAATGTCTACACATAAACAGCCCGACAACCATTACAATATAACTATGTTAAATACATGACTCATTAATGCATGCTGTAAAATTAATACCGGAACATTCAATTTGTGAACGAGAAGATCTGGTAGGGGGTGCATTAACTAGTTATGATTGGGCATATGCTTCTGGGTAATAAGGAAGAATAACCAAACATTATTATAGGTCAGGCGATATTAAAAGTTATTTCTTATCTGCGTATTAGGCTGGTTTTGATTTGCGAAGTTCCTCCATGGTGGGCATGTTGCATTCAGTATTGCATCTTCACCACGTGTGAACTTTACAAATATTAATCTTATCTTTCCGGGATATTTATATATTCTCATGATCCAATGTCTACACTTTGTATGATTTGATGGTTTTTAAGGCTATAATATATTGATTATCAGTGAGTTGGGTTTAACGCCGCTTTTAACAGTGTTCCAGTTATATCACGGCGTGTCAGCTTAATGTGGGAGGAAAGCCCGAAGTGATGCAGGTCTCGGACGTTTACCACTTTGGTGAAACCCACGAGTACGAGCATGGTGCTGACAAACCTAGTAACATAATCTGGGCGAACCGGGATTCTAACCCACAATCATAGGTTTCTGGCGTGTCCAAGGGACGCAACTCTGCACAGCGAATCATGGCACCTTAGACGACTGGGCCACCTGTGTGCCCCCATATTGGTTATTAGATTTCCACCTCGCCCATTTCGCTACTAAACAATGTCCGTCACATCCGCCGATGGATGAGTTCGTTTTAAAGGAATACAATATGAAATGCTTCCCACCAGTTTTGGAGAAATCTATGAAAATCTTAATTTCATTTGGCCTAATTTTTCAAGCGTTTTCGTACTCTGCAAGAGTTCTATATAACACTGAAATATTCGGTGATATATGCCCATCTGGAAAGTAATCGGACATTTGTGTAGCGAGTACATCTTTAACATGTTCTGATTTGCCTAAAGAATTCGATCAAAACAGTCCTGCACTCTGAGTAGCGCCTTTGACACAAACGTAACACCGAATACTCAAGAATTGGTGCAACGTGTTTAATCCTATACTCATCTAAAGTATGCAGATTTCTCAACACGTGGGTTTTCGTACACGTGTTTTAGTGATTTCTAATGAACGGCATAAATCATGCTTGACTTACCTGCGTTGTCGACCACCATGACTTCAACCCACTTCATGTCTTCCTGAACAGAACGACTTTTCTTGTGGATCACCGCCAACTTTTTGTCACCCGTTTTGGTTGATGACGAAGCTACGCCGAACAGCACCATGCTGAATTGACGAATCTGCATGAACCAATGACAAACTGCTCCTCGTGGCGCTCGTGAAAAGGGTGCCGCACGTGCACTGTCAATTACACGACTTATGCAAATTCACAACACTTTATTATTTTACTTGAAGGCCTAGTCGTATTAAATTAAAACATTTAATGCATAAATGCATGTCCAGAAACATTTTCCTGAAATGGGGTGATATTATATGCTAGATTAAGTACTAGTATATATTCCAAGTAGACAATTTTTATACGTACTTGACATTTTAACGTCTATTTACTCCAATAATGTTAATGTGTTCGTTTTACACCTCATTTACATAATTTATACAACATTTAAGTGACAACGGTATTACTTCGCCCATGCAAAATTATAACCGATGGAGCAAATAATGACGGACCTATAAATACTTGGACAATATGTCCTTTTATAAAGATGTATTCTGTGGAATTGATGGTTTGTCCACAACAATATAGGTAATGTTGTTTTGTACTTTGATGTGTAGTCAAGGAACAATAATTTATTGCACAATGGTGCGTGTTGTTTTAATTATTTATATGTGTTGTTTCATTACATAATTCATTTCCGATTTCAATTTAGGGACTGGACATCTTGTAGGGATGTTTGTCCCCGTTCCTATTAGCCCAAAGTAACCCTCATTGTCGTCACCGTTGACTATTAGCGTCGGCCGACCCGTGAAGATCCGGGTAGAGAATATGTCTTGAGCAACCCTTACTTAACGTGAGAGGCGACAGACGGGATTGGTAGGTCAGGCTCACTGATTTAGTTGATGCATGTCATGGTAGCCCAATTGCGTGGATCGATGCTCATTATGTCACTCACTGGATTGTCTGGTCCAGACTCGATTATTTACATACCGCTAGAATACTGCTGAGTGCGGAGTTAAACAACAAACAAAATTAACGTCGGCCGTGTGGTGCCACATGGCTACAATGAAGGTTCCAAGGATTTTTAAAGGAAGGAGGACGTTGCTCCTGTTATCATCCACTTGCCAGACCCGAATGCTTCCTTGGTTGTGATGTAGGTGGACATGCGGCGAGCAAGGATATTCATTCACTTACTCACTCATTCAAGGGAATAGTGGCTTCACACACACACACACACACACACACACACACACTTACTCACTCATTCAAGGGAATAGTGGCTTCACACACACACACACACACACACACACACACGCTGCACCACGTGGAAAGGCCTTACTTATACAGGCAAGGGTAATTCATTTCAATCCTTCATGGTACATATATTATTCCGCAACATGGAATATATACACAGAGTATAAAACCCATGTGAGCACGCCTTGGCACAACATCTGATAGCAATTACAAACGATATGACACCGACAACCGTTCTATATAGGGGATCGTATACAGACAAAACAGCAGCTGATTTGGCCTTGTATATGTTAATTCATGACTGACGCTCCCGTATGTGGGACAGAAATGATCTGGTGTCTCAACCACCCCACATTGATTACCTCTGCTTATGTTATGACATCATCATATAGTCTTACGATACACGGTAGCTGCATAAACCATTAATATATAAAAAGTAACACTCGGTTTGACCAGCTGCTGCGAATAATCAACGTTGTTGAATTTTGCACATAGGTATCCCTGTCATCTAAGACGCACACAGATATATATATATATATATGCAATATCGATACCATATATCTAGCTATTATATATTGAATAATTACGTTATAGCCACGTGTATTTAATGGAATTTCTGCATTTTACCTTGTTTATCTAATTCAAATAATATATTGTTTATCTTAGATATTTTTTAGTATTTATTTGGTGTTTGTGAATTGTCAATTCTAATATTTCTTGGTAAATTTTATAGATCTGCTGTTATCCTTGCAAATAATATGCTTCTCTTCAGCCAAGCTGTTATTCGTGCAGACAATTTTTTAACATCTTGTCAAATATGAAACTGCGCAATTTCTTGATTTGGATAACTGCCTAAATCTAAATGTGGCAGGTGCCCCTCCTCGTTTCACCCCCCACACCAAACAGCCCCTTAAAAACGGAAGTTAACAAGAGTTAAGTCCCATTTGTTTGGCACTGACTTCCGGTTTTGATAACGATATTAATGTTTTATCCGGACAAGTGCCCCAGTGTCTTTATGATATTAATGGGGATATATTCTTCGTGATTTGTTTTCGAATCCGTAGATAACAATTTGAGACGGTGTTTTATACATTTTGATTGATACATGTTCACCAGCTATTTACCAATACCATGTTAGTTGGACACTTGTGAAAACACTTGTAAAAAACCGGAGTGACAGTAATCCGACTTACATCTGATTTTTGGTGCTGCATATTTTCTACATCATATGTGTCAATCGTGAAAATGTGAGCGATATTGGTTATCATCTAGTGGGCACGTGCCATACAGATATATGGTTCCACGCACCTGTCCACACGAAGAGAAATCCCAGTAAACTAAACTCGAAAATGTAAGACAAATTGCCTGCCCGTATTCTGGTTTTGAAGGAATCTCCTAACCTGTTATTATCAACAACAAATTCAACAATGAAGGTTGCAGTTATTGGATGCGGAGCTATGGGCATACGAATTGCAGGTAGGTCTGTCTATGATAGGATTGGTGACATGACACAATCAATGTTGTAAATATCTTGACATGCCATGTTTTCTCTATTAGTTGCTGGGCATCTATTCTTTTTAATGCAACTCACTGCCCTACCAAATCCCCAATGCTCTACAGTACAAAGGGTACATTTGCAGAAACAGTTCATTATTAAAAACACGAGAGAACATGACAAGATAGACACAATTTTATGGATAACAACTTCTTTAATACTGTGAAAAGCAACGTTTCGGTATAGATCCTTATACCGTTGTCAAGCAAGACTGTCTTGCTTGACAACGGTGATGAAGTTGTTATCCATAAAATTGTGTCTATCTTGTCATCCGTCAACTTATAAGTAATGCCTATCAAACAATTTATGAGAGAACATGGAGTTAATGGTTCAGGGTGTGCAGGTTCTAGTGCTCTGCAGTATGTGAGCTAATGTGACCCCTAATACAACAGAATTTACAATATTTACCATTCCTGCAACTTGTGTATGGTATGGAAAAATATTGATGTGTAAAACGGAATTTGACGCCTTTTCGACACAACATAAAATGACTACTTTTACCATTTAAATAATGTCTTGAATAGATAAACAATTAGATAGTTTACCGTGTATCTTAATTGGACTAGACCTGTTTGGCATCAGTTTTGCATAATCAAATACTCAAAAGAATATTTCAAAACAAACAAAATTGTATTCAATATTTGCCATGTATTTGTTCATTATTATGTGATTATTTCTCTTCATCTTATCTCAGAATTATACAATAATAGATGCGAAAAAAGCTGTATTGGTATACAAGTATCAGGATGATCATATAAGGTTCTAGCAAAGGGGTTCATGGTTCGGGTCATAATTTTAAACTTTTTTTTGAGAAATAAAGTAAACAGTTAATATTTTTTAGTTTAATATCCTGTGATCACAATATCTAAAAAAGGATGAATCCATTGATTATATAATGCAAAATGAGAGGAATAATTCGTAGATCGTTTACGACTAACACGCTCCTGGCGAATTGTCAGATATCACTGCATCATTTGTATACTGGAGATGGCATAGCAAACTTAGGGAACAACAGTAATCACTTACCAGCAACCACCCCTGCTTTAAAGGCATTTAGTTTTCAGCACTAAACATGCTAAATGCTGGAAAGTTTTAGTTGCTTGGGTCAATTGAGCCTTGGAATCCCATCGGAGCAAATTAGGACGTGATTGATACATTTTTCAATAGGAAGGTCACAATATGATACTTGATACAGGATACATTAATGAAAAGTTGTCATTTTACATGCTAGGAGACACTTTCCTTCATAAGAGGAAATGAATGGAGACCCGAACAAAATATTGGTAGACTTGAGACTCTAGATACAGAACAGACAGAAAATATTCTACCGACCAAAAATAAGGGAACTAATGATTTAAGTGTAGCTATTGTTTATGTGTTCACTTACCATACTGGGGGGCATGGGTGGCCCAGTCGTCTAAGGCGCTATGATTTGCTGTGCAGAGTTTTGGGCACGCCAGAAACCTATGATTGTGGGTTTGAATCCCGGTTCGCCCCGATTATGTTTCTAGGTTTGTCGGCACTATACCTGTGCTTGTGGGTTTCACCGAAGTGGTAAATGTATGAGACCTGCATCACTTCGGGCTTTACTCCCACATTAAGCTGACACGCCGTGATATAACTGGAATAATGTTAAAAGCGGCGTTAAACCCAACTCACTCACTCACTCACTTACCTTACCGTGGTGTTGCATCTGAACGCAACATCTAATCACAGTGACATTTCACATCATGCATGAACAGCACATGATGCATGTGCACACAGAAGTCAAAGTGTGTGTGCCTGTAGGGGAACCCGTAATGCAATTAAGCACACTTGTTTAAAAATGCCTCGGAGACGGTAACTCAATGTACAGACAAAGTGGCAAATTGTGAGTACGGTTGGTTAGTTTGTTGTTTCATGCCGCACTCAGCAATATTCCAGCTATATGACGGCGGTCCGTAAACAATTGAGTCTGGACCAGACAATCCAGTGATTGATATCATGAGCATCGATCCACACTATTGGGATTGATGACATGTATCTTGTGAATCATTATAGTGAATCAGTTGAATCATTTCATGCATTTTGTTTAGATTTGCAAAGAAAATATCAATAATTGATTTGTCCAAAGTGAGATTTATTGCAAATTGTGCTGATATTTCTGTGTTCAGGCGAACTGGCATATCACGGTCACCGAGTGAAGATCACTGACAATGATGTGAGGGCACTCAACAATGTATATGAGAGGCTGCAGGAAGACAAGATGATGCTACACTCAGAGAAACTCATGCCACACAAAAATTTTATTGTGAGTTTTAACCTTAATATGATGAATAATCCACTGGCTTAAAACTTTATATTGAAAAGTTTTTAACTTCTTAAAATATTTTAACCACATAAGCTTCAAATGTTAACATTTTAAAATTATTCTATTTGATCTGTTAGAGCATGAAGAAAACTTGTTTGTATGTTAATGTGGTTTGTGTTTTAGTATTTGACAAATAGACAATGCAACATTGATGTATTTACTTCAGTTTGTAAGGTACAGCAATGTTCCATTGATGGTACGAGGGCTGGCTGAAAAGTTCTAAGCCTAACTGTGAAAGACCCGTACCAAGTCGATGGTTTTCATTGATTTCTCCACATAGTCCCCTTCCAGGTTTACACACTTTTGCCAGCGATGCTGCAAGGCCTGGATGCCGGTCAAGAAGATATTTTCTTCAGCCACCCTAAAAAAGTCATTCACAGCGGAAATGACGTCATCATTACTACTTTTTCATTTTGGGAAACAGGTGGAAATCTGACGGGGCCAAATCAGGTGAATAAAGGGGATGGTCAATGAGTTCGAAGCAACAATCATGGATCGCTGACATTGCAACCACCGATTTGTGAACAGGAGCATTGTCTTGGTGGAACAGGAATCCTTTCGTGAGCATTCACAGTCGCTTAGGTTTGATAGCTTCACACAACTGTCTCAGTAGGTCAGCATAATATCTTCCATTGATAGTCTGGCCTTTTTCAAGAAAGTTAATCCGCAGAATACCCTTGGAATCCATAAAGACTGAAGCCATCACCTTTCCAGCAGAAGGAACCGACTTTGCTTTTTGGGGGGCTGGTTATTCCAGATTGTCCCATTGTTTAGACTGAATTTTGGTTTCTGGTTGAAAGTGATGAATCCAGGTCTCATCCATGGTTACAAATCGAGCCAAAATGTCATCGGGATCTGCTTCAAAACGGCATAACTTGTCACGGGGCGTCAGGAATCTGACACGTTTCTGATCCGCTGTCAAGAGCTTTTGCACCCATCTTGCAGAAACTTTTGTCATTCCCAACTCGTTGGTGATAATGTGCTCAACCCTCTCATGAGAGATGCCCACAACACTGGCAACATGTCGAGTGGTCAATCGTCGATCAGCCATCACCATGTCATGCACCTGGGTAATGTTTTCCGGAATGGTTGCTGTTGAAGGCCTTTCTGGACGCGGGTCATTGTCAAGGCTCTCTCTGCCACGCTTGAATTCCGCAGCCCACTTCTTTACAGTGGAAAAGGAAGGGGCATCATCCCCTAAAGTGGAGACCATGTCAGCATGTATCTGTGTTGGAGTTAGCCCTTTCAGTTGCAGGTACTTGATGACTGCCCTATAGCCAGTTTTGTCCATTTCTGGTGAATTCAATGGGTAGGTTGACAAGATGGTCTGGTACAAAGACAATAATAACACTACAGTTGCAGTTCTTATGTCTATGATTCATTAAATGTACTTGTTGGTTGCAAAAGTTTGTTTCAATCCGTTTGAGATATCCCATTTAGGCTTAGAACTTTTCTGCCAGCCCTCGTATCATTTAGAACTATTACATCATGGAATGAGATTATGAAGTTGCCTCCCTTAAGCATTCCAGGATCCAATGATCATGGGTTCAAATCCCAGACTTCTATGATTATTTTTCTAGGTTTTCAGCACCAAACCCGTGCTTGTGGGTTTCATCAAAGTGCTCATTGACATGCATAGTTTCTGACGCTCTTCCAACATCAAGTGAACATGCCAGTGTATTGCTGAAATACTGTTCAAAGTAGAGTTCAACCAAACTCACTCACTAATACACATTACCAGGTATAGGTGCGAGAACAAGGGGTTAACTGATGAAACGCTGTCACAGGTCCTGTGTATGTTTTAGAGCATGGTTACAATAGTGAGTGAGAAACCCACAAGCACAGATATGATGCTGACAAACCTAGAAACATAATCGGGGCGAACAGGGATTCAAACCCACAATCATAGGTTTCTAGCGTGCCCAAGAGACGCAGCTCTGCACAGCGAGTGCCTTTGACAACTGGGCAACCCTGCCCCCTTGTTGCAATAGTGTACATGTAGGTGATAGGTTTACTTAATTATTTCAAGGGGGCACGGGTGGCCCAGTCGTCTAAGGCGCCACGATTCGCTGTGCAGAGTTGCCTCCCTTGGGCACGCCAGAAACCTATGATTGTGGGTTCGAATCCCGGTTCGCCCCGATTATGTTTCAGCACCATACCCGTGCTCATGGGTTTCACCGAAGTGGTAAACATCTGAGACCTGCATCACTTCGGGCTTTCCTCCCACATTAAGCTGACAGGCCGTGATATAACTGGATTATTGTTAAAAGCGGCGTTAAACCCAACTCACTCACTCACTCACTCACTCACTCACTCACTCACACACTAATTATTTCAAGGACACTGAGGCAGCCTTGTAGTTAAAGTGTTCACTCCGAGGCCTGGGTTCGATTCTCCACATGCGTATACTGTGTGATGCCAATTTCTGTTGTTCCCCACTGTGATATTGTTGGACTATTGATAAGAGCAATGAAAAACCATACCAACTCACCTATCATTCCATGAGAAACATTTACACGCCACTGTCATGTAGCAGAAATATTGCTGAGTACGATGTGAAACAGCAAACTAACAAAACAAATCATGAGGAACAAGTTTGAGACACATTATTCACTTCTGATTTCATTCATCTCTGAATAAATGCTGTCCACGGCCCCAAATTCATTTTTTTGGAGGAAGTAAGACGTTAAGTGAAGTGCATGGACTTTCACAGGAACTTTTATGACATGATGACCTGTGTAGGTCCGGGCTAGAATTGGTCTCTAGCAACCCATGCTTGTCATAAGAGGCGACATAATTGATGGGGGGTCAGGCTCGGTGACTTGGTTGATGCCGTGTTATTTAGGGCTGGGACAAGTCCAGATTTACTACCTGGGTACCCGACCCCCTATTACCCGACCCTAGCCGGTACCCACTGCAAGTCTCAAGAGTAGGGAACAAAATGTCTGTTTGGTAATTGTTTTACTGCAGCCCTTGCTAAAACTATTTAGATACATGTATCAAATGGTCAGTTCATGCGTTCACTGAAGTTGACAGAAGCTTTATCTTTACTCAAACATAATCAAGTCAAAAGGAATGTGTGCATCGTCAGAAAGTGAGTTTTTGTCATTACATCACGGGCCCAGGTAGTCCTGTGGGTACCTGGGTCCTACTCAGGACCCACCCGACCCGAGTGCCCGAGATACCCGTCCCAGCCCTAGTGTCTTTGTATCCTGATTGGGTGGATCATTGCTTATGATATCAATCACTGGTTTGTCTTGATTATTTACAGACTGCCTTCATGTAGCTGGAATATTGCTGAGTGCGCATTAAACACCACACCAACTCACACAGACACACTTTGATGTAATGACAAGGAAAGCACAGACTAGTACCGATGTGTTATCTGAAGACATCGATGTGTTTCACAGACTAGTGCCGATGTGTTATCTGAAGACATCGATGTGTTTCACAGACTAGTACCGATGTGTTATCTGAAGACATCGATGTGTTTCACAGACTAGTACCGATGTGTTATCTGAAGACATCGATGTGTTTCACAGACTAGTACCGATGTGTTATCTGAAGACATCGATGTGTTTCACAGACTAGTACCGATGTGTTATCTGAAGACATTGATGTGTTTCACAGACTAGTACCGATGTGTTATCTGAAGACATCGATGTGTTTCAGGGCCAGATACTGTGCATGAGTCAGCTGGAGGAGACCGTCAGTGATGCAGAAGTCATCTTCGAGGTTGTCAAAGAAAACCTGAACATTAAGCAGGATTTATTTGAACGTGAGTTTAATCTGATCCATGGAGTTAAACTTTGTTGTGAAGATCCAGGGTAGAATAGGTCTTCAGGAACCCATGCTTGTCGTAAAAGGCGACTATGCTTTGTTGTAAAAGGCAACTAATGGGATCGGGTGGTCAGGCTCGCTGACTTGGTTGATGCATGTCATCGATCCAAATTGTGTGGATCGATGCTCATGATATTAATCACTGGACTGTCTGGTACAGATTCGATTATTTACAGACCGCCGTCATATAGCTAGAATATTGCTGAGTGCGGCGTTACACAACAAACCAGCCAACCCACCAACTGTAGGGATAATACCATGCTATATGCTAATGTATCTGTTTCTATCAGTGTTCATTGAAGTTAACCAATGTTCAGATAAACCTGTGTTCTGTCTGTGTTCTGTGAAGTTAAATGTCATGACACAACTGTTACCATGGTCACAGGTATATCTCATCTTTGCAAGCCCAGTGCCATCATCGCCACCAACACACTCTGCCTCAACATAACAGACATCGTGGAGAGAACTCTCAACAAGGAGGTACTGGAGTATCTAATGCTTTATATACATGATGTATACATGATATATGCATCATATACGCATGATATATACATGATATATACACATGATATATACATGATATACACATGATATATACATGATATATACATGATATATGCACTGCCTACTGTGTATTTCTATATGAAATTGCAATTTTAAAATTCTCATTCTATGTTAACCTGGTTAGCAAGGCTTAATCAAGTTTTTATTGACAAAAGACATTTGTTTTGTTTGCAAAGTGAAATATTGATATTTAAATATAGAAACCCAAATTGGTTTCAACTGACATGTTTTGTAACTGTTCTATGGAAGTAGCTGATTGACTACACTTTCAGCTGCTTCTTCTGTTTCACTGTATCATGTGACGCAACAAAGTATAGATTGATGTTACATGTATTAACAATTTAACAGTTACTAAGTCAACTAATGCCTTACAATGGAGCTCAAATAAAAAAGGATTCTTGTGGGAACAATATTCCTACACATGATCTACGCATTTATTGGCTGAAGTGAGTGAATGAGAGAGTGTTTTACGCCGCTTTTAGCAATAAAATGTGGGGGACACCAGAAATGGGCATCATGCATTGTACCCATGTCAGGAATCAAACCCGTGTCTTCGGTGGACGAGCAAATGCCTTAACCACAAGGCTACCTGACCACCCCTTGTGGGTTCGAATCCCATTTTGCCCCGATTATGTTTTTAGGTTTGCCAGCACCATAGCCGTGCTCGTGGTTTTCACCGAAATGGTGAACAATCGAACCTGGGTCTTCGGGGGGGGGGGGGGGGGGGGGGGCAAGTGAACACTTTAACCACTTGGCTACCCCGCCGCCCCTTTTAGACTGAATCTGAGTAAAGTAAATATGGACTTTCTTGTGTTACTGTAGCACAAAGATATAGTGTGACATACAATTGTATTATTAGAGACTTTCTAGACGTGAAGGGTTTTGGCACAGACTATGACTCACTGTAATGCTGTGTTGTAGAGGACTATTGGACTGCGCTTCCTGTTTCCTGTGTACTACATCCCTGAAGTGGAGATCATGGCCGGCCGACACACCTCGCCAGACACTATAGAGAAAGGTAGGTCCCAGATCTGTGGATAACATGGGAGAATCTATGGTCTGGTGGATCTGTAGAGATGGGTGGACAATCTAGGGTCTGATGAGTCTGTAGAGTGATGGTGGAGAATCTATGGTCTGATGGATCTGTAGAGATGGGTGGACAATCTAGGGTCTGATGGATCTGTAGAGTGGTGGTGGACAATCTATGGTCTGATAGATCTGTAGAGGGGTGGATGGACAATCTATGGTCTGATAGATCTGTAGAGTGTTGGGTGGAGAATCTATGGTCTGATGGATCTGTAGAGTGTTGGGTGGACAATCTATGGTCTGATTGATCTGTAGTGGGGTGGGTGGAGAATCTATGGTCTGATGGATCTGTAGAGGGGTGGGTGGAGAATCTATGGTCTGATGGATCTGTAGAGTGTTGGGTGGACAATCTATAGTCTGATGGATCTGTAGAGTGGTGGGTGGAGAATCTATGGTCTGATGGATCTGTAGAGTGTTGGGTGGAGAATCTATGGTCTGATGGATCTGTAGAGTGGTGGGTGGAGAATCTATGGTCTGATGGATGTATAGAGAGGTGGGTGGAGAATCTATGGTCTGATGGATGTATAGAGTGGTGGGTGGAGAATCTATGGTCTGATGGATCTGTAGAGTGGTGGATGGAGAATCTATGGTCTGATGGATCTGTAGAGTGTTGGGTGGAGAATCTATGGTCTGATGGATCTGTAGAGGGGTGGGTGGAGAATCTATGGTCTGATGGATCTGTAGAGTGTTGGATGGACAATCTATGGTCTGATGGATCTGTAGAGTGTTGGGTGGACAATCTATGGTCTGATGGATCTGTAGAGTGTTGGATGGAGAATCTATGGTCTGATGGATCTGTAGAGTGTTGGGTGGAGAATCTATGGTCTGATGGATCTGTAGAGGGGTGGGTGGAGAATCTATGGTCTGATGGATCTGTAGAGTGTTGGATGGACAATCTATGGTCTGATGGATCTGTAGAGTGTTGGGTGGACAATCTATGGTCTGATGGATCTGTAGAGTGTTGGGTGGAGAATATATGGTCTGATGGATCTGTAGAGTGGTGGGTGGAGAATCCATGGTCTGATGGATCTGTAGAGTGTTGGGTGGACAATCTATGGTCTGATGGATCTGTAGAGTGGTCGGTGGAGAATATATGGTCTGATGGATGTATAGAGGGGTGGTGGGAGAATCTATGAACTGATGGATGTATAGAGGGGTGGGTGGAGACTCTATGGACTGATGGATGTATAGAGTGGTGGGTGGAGAATCTATGGTCTGATGGATCTGTAGAGTGGTGGGTGGAGAATCTATGGTCTGATGGATGTATAGAGTGGTGGGTGGAGAATCTATGGTCTGATGGATGTATAGAGTGGTGGGTGGAGAATCTATGGTCTGATGGATCTGTAGAGTGGTGGATGGACAATCTATGGTCTGATGGATCTGTAGAGTGTTGGGTGGAGAATCTATGGTCTGATGGATCTGTAGAGTGTTGGGTGGAGAATCTATGGTCTGATGGATGTATAGAGTGGTGGGTGGAGAATCTATGGTCTGATGGATCTGTAGAGTGGTGGATGGAGAATCTATGGTCTGATGGATCTGTAGAGTGTTGGGTGGAGAATCTATGGTCTGATGGATCTGTAGAGGGGTGGGTGGAGAATCTATGGTCTGATGGATCTGTAGAGTGTTGGATGGACAATCTATGGTCTGATGGATCTGTAGAGTGTTTGGTGGAGAATCTATGGTCTGATGGATCTGTAGAGTGTTGGGTGGACCATCTATGGTCTGATGGATCTGTAGAGTGGTGGGTGGAGAATCTATGGTCTGATGGATGTATAGAGTGGTGGGTGGAGAATCTATGGTCTGATGGATGTATAGAGTGGTGGGTGGAGAATCTATGGTCTGATGGATCTGTAGAGTGGTGGATGGAGAATCTATGGTCTGATGGATCTGTAGAGTGTTGGGTGGAGAATCTATGGTCTGATGGATCTGTCGAGGGGTGGGTGGAGAATCTATGGTCTGATGGATCTGTAGAGTGTTGGATGGACAATCTATGGTCTGATGGATCTGTAGAGTGTTGGGTGGACAATCTATGGTCTGATGGATCTGTAGAGTGTTGGGTGGAGAATATATGGTCTGATGGATCTGTAGAGTGGTGGGTGGAGAATCCATGGTCTGATGGATCTGTAGAGTGTTGGGTGGACAATCTATGGTCTGATGGATCTGTAGAGTGGTGGGTGGAGAATATATGGTCTGATGGATCTGTAGAGTGGTGGGTGGAGAATCCATGGTCTGATGGATCTGTAGAGTGTTGGGTGGACAATCTATGGTCTGATGGATCTGTAGAGTGGTGGGTGGAGAATATATGGTCTGATGGATGTATAGAGGGGTGGGGGGAGAATCTATGAACTGATGGATGTATAGAGGGGTGGGTGGAGACTCGATGGACTGATGGATGTATAGAGTGGTGGGTGGAGAATCTATGGACTGATAGATGTATAGAGTGGTGGGTGGAGACTCTATGGACTGATGGATGTATAGAGTGGTGGGTGGAGACTCTATGGACTGATGGATGTATAGAGTAGTGGGTGGAGAATCTATGGACTGATGGATCTATAGAGTGGTGGGTGGAGAATCTATGGACTGATGGATGTATAGAGTGGTGGGTGGATGGTCAACTGAGTGATCCTGGGGGAATGGATGGCATCTCTTGAACCGTTTTATAGATTTCCTGATGGTTCTCGCCTGACACTTCCAGTGAAGTGTTCTTCTATTTGGAATTTCTATGGCCTTGTGGCTGTTATCCACAATTATGAAGCCAGTCACAGCCTTCTCGAATCGTCACATCTCTGGCTCTACCCCTACATCGACAACTGTGTTACTGCCTTGGCACCAATAACTTCATCATGTGCAGTTGATGATCGCCATCGACAATTCAACCATGGCTTACTTCATAGACTATACTATCACCAACAATCAGGGCTCAATGCTCTCACAATAGCTACTCACATTTCAGTTCAGCCAGCCGATCAACTCTGTACAGCAAGACTTGAGCATTGAGGTGACCAATGTCCCTCAAGACAGTCGACCACAGAATGGAACTGAATCCAGATGTTTAGTCTTGTGTGTCAACAGCTTGGCTTGGCAAACATCAACCTGTTCACACGGTTCAATCATCAACTGCCCATGTTCATGTCTCCAGTACTAGATCCCCTCACCTTGGATCATGATGCCTTGGTGATAACTTGGGAACATCTCCATGCCTACACATTTCCTCCACCTGCCCTTCTCCCTCAGGTACTCCCGAAAGTACAACAGATACAGACACTTCAACACTTTTGGTTGCCCCTTACTGGCCATCTTCCCCCGGCAAGAGAGTTAATTGACCAGTTTCAACCCTTGCCGAACTACGCTGGAATTCCTGGGCTCGATTGTAGCGCCACCAGTGGCTATTATGAGTTATGTCCCCTCGGAGCCTCTCCTGTGGACCAATCCGATTCCATCACTTGCATTTGTTTCAAACCAAATGGCGGTGCCCATTCAAGATGATCTGATCAATAATCAAGATCGATATTGTGATAAAACAAGTCTTACATCGCAAAGTGCATCAAATCACAAGAGCACCTTGATTACAAACATGAAAAGGTTTGGAAAATATCTGTTGACAACAAGTTGGCGGTGCACATGCTTTGCAAATCCTGCAATTGACCGAAATCGACACGTTTACGGACCGGATTTAGATTTTGTTGTGGACTATGCATAGACTTGTAAGTCCAGCCAAAATGTAACTCGATAATACCAGCCTAGTTCGGCAAGGGTGGAAACTGGACTTTTATGGTCAGTTAACTCTCTTGCCTCGGGAAGATGCGTGGATAGTTGCTCATATGAATCAATGGGCTGTCTGGTCCAGACTTAATTATTTACGAGATGCTGTCATATAGCTGGATAGTTTTTACTGACATTTGATGCACTTTTGGGGCTGAATATCGCCTTCTGAGCAGGTCTAGATAAATCCCTATTGTAATTCACTAAGTGTGACCATCTTCTGTATTCTTTATTATGAACTTAGACACAAGGAAATGTGTGACATGTTTTGTGATGATTGTCTCGGGAAGATGCTTACTGGTCAGCATGAAGTTCGATTCCCAATCTCATCTGACTCACTGGGGAACCAAGCCCTCGTCTTCCTCAGTGGGCAGGTCTGCTGTGGCATCCTCCTCACACAAAGCAGTGTCATCCATTCTGATGTGGAATCTTTGCGCAGGGATTTTATTCCATGTTCCTTAAAGAAATGGGGTTTCTGCATTAAAGCTCATCATACTTTGACCAGACAGGAAATGAGACACATTTGTCACTTGCTGTTGTCACAAGAAACGAGCAAGTATGTGTCTGCTGTTGATACTTTTCTGGTTGCATCTTCTTCAAGGAAACTTTCCCAGACTGCAGAGGTTGGCACAGTACTGAAACAGAAGTACACCATGTGAGTCAACTTTTGGAGGTGCTGACTGTATACATGTTACTCAGAAGACCGTCTTCTTCATGACTTTAGCAACTGCAGCCTGGGTGAGTTTGGTCCATGTTCTAGATGCTTTGATCAAGGTCAACAACGTGTTACTCATTTGGGACTGATATGCCAAAACTCAGCCTCCACCCAAGAGGACAAAAGGATCCATATAAATACACTATGCCATTGAGAAAGTTGTTAAATGTAACAAATATTGTGTTTGGGATAACACTTCCTTTGTAAAGTGCAAATTCTAGTACCTTTTGGGGTTGAATCCCATTCGGGATTCGAACCCACACTATCAGAGTGAGGCACCAAATCAGCAGCACACAAAGTCAGCGATCTAACCCTTTCAGCAACTGAGGCTTCCACAAAAATGAAAGTCCAACAACTGGTAGTCTAGTTTACGTACTTTGTGTACCCCTCATATAAGGTCCATGTTGCTCCTTTGTCTTCCATCCCCAGCTCGGATGATATTGAAGATCTCTCTT